TCCTGATTGGCTCACCTGGAATAAACTTGTATTATTTTCTTTAAATATACTTATATGTGACTTTAATTTCTTTTTTACCCCCAATTCATACATTATTTATCAATCATTCAACATTTCTTTATGTGTTCCTCTCTCCAACAAGAAAATAAGTGCCCTAAAGTCAGTGACTTTTCTGTTGCCTTTGTTTCCCTAGAGCACATAATGCAGGGTCACTTGGTAAATGCTTGCTCAATGAATGACTGAATGAATGAATGTATAGATCTGCACCTTATGTGCTCTTCTATTGCTGTAAAGTCGATTCCCACTCCTAGTGACCCTATAGGACAGAGTAGAACTGCCCCCCAGGGTTTCAAAGGCTGTAAATCTTTATGGAAGCAGACTGCCGCATCTTTCTCCCTTGGAGTAGCTGGTGGGTTCAAACTGCCAACCTTTTGGTTAGCAGCCAAACGCTTAAACACTGTGCCCCAGGGCTCCCACCTTATGTATCAAAACCAAACCTGTTGCCATTGAGTCGATTCCAACTCATAGCTTATGTACAGTAGTGGGTAAATGTAATGTTTACCTTATGTAATGTGGTAGCGCCTGAAGTCTTCATCTTCTAACTTCAGGTAGAGAGAGGAAATTCACAATCAGCAGCACGCTGATTCCTATTATGTGGAGGTCAGACTCCACTCTCCAACCTTTTTACCAATTCTGACACCAGTTGTCTTCCCCATGGCACTCTCTACTTCTCTGCTGGGTTTGACAATTTGTTGCAGTGGCCACACAGAACTCATAGACCATACTCAGGATTATGGAGTTTATTAGGGGAAGTAACAGGTTACAATTCAGGATCAGGATCAACTTGGAGGTAACAAGCTACAACTCAGGATACAGATCTTACAGTGTAGTGAATTACTTAATATGGCCCTTCTAGCCATAGTTTTTGTAATTCCCATGAAATGATTGGGTGAGACTATGCAAATGAGGTGCTTGTGGCCCACCAAGAGGATCGGATAGCTTGCTAATAATGTAAATAAGGTACATGGCACCCTTGTGGGGGGTGGGACCATGCAAATAAGGTATATGGAACCCTAATGAGGGGATTGGTCACTTTTGCCATCCTGCTAGGCTTAAAATGAGCCATCCCATAGGCGAGAAGGGAGGATGTTAACACCACCAAAAAAGAAGAGCCAGGAGTGGAGGACATCCTTCCTACCCAGGATCCCTGTGCTGAGAACCTCCTAGATCCAGGAGACAGAGAGAGGAGCTGTAACACAGAAGACAGCAAGAAATGGCAGGAATCAGTAGACTGGCACAAGATGGCTGCAGTGAGGCTTCTTGGCCCACGGAGTGAGTAAGCTGAGTGCCTTTGGGCCGAGGCTTACTGGCAGAGTAGGGTGCCTCCGCGCACTTATCAGCAGAGCCGAAAGAGCTTTGTAACACTTGCCTGAGCAAGGCAGAGGCCGGGCTGAGAAGCTAAGAGGCTGAGGGGCCAGAGAGAGGTATGCCTGCGGGCATGGCTGAGAAGAGGCTGTCTGGATGGAAGAACTGTATCCTGAGCACTTCTGAACCTGAATGGTAACTTGTTACTTTCCTAATAAACTCCATAATCGTGAATATGGTCTGTGAGTTCTGTGTGTCCATTGCAATGAGTTACCAGACTCAGCAGAGAAGTAGAGAGTGTTGTGGGAGAGACAGTTGGTGTCAGAATTGGTAAAAAGGGGAGAGGGAAGAGGCATGTCTGCCTGTCGCCTTATAGAAATCAGCCTTGGGCTGTTGATCTTGATTCTCCTTCCCTCTTGTGAAGTAAGAGGAAGTCAGATGCCGCCCTTGCCACACCATTTTTACAGTTCTTCAATCAGGACAGCTTCTAACGAAGGCAGCTCTTAGCTTCTCAGCAGCGCCTGCAGCCAGACCTCTCCGTCAGCCTCTCCCCTGCTCGGGCAAGTGTTACAGCTCTTTAGCTCTGCCGACATAGTACCCAGAGGCACTCCACTCTGCCAGTAAGTCTTCTGTCCGAAGGTGCTCAGCTCTCTCACTCCATGGGTCAGCAAGCCCACTGCCGGGAAGCCCACCACAGCCATCTCGCGCTGGTCTCTTGGTTCCCACCACTTGTACTGCTACTGCCATCTTGTGCTGTCTTTAGTGTTACAGCTCTCTCTGTCTCCTGGGTCTAGGAGGTTCCCAATGCAAGGACCCTGGATCCAAAAAACATGCTCCGCTCCTGGCTCCTCTTCTTGGTGTGGTAATGAGGTCCCCCCCAACCTCTGTGGGATTGGCTCTTTTAAGCCTAGCAGGATGGCAAAACTGACCAATCACCTCGGAAGCCCACAGCCACCTAGTTTGCATAGTAATTACAGGTGTTTTACATACCTTATTTGCATAGTAGACTAACCAATCCCTTTGCAAGATTGTGGCCTAGGAAATCATCTTAGCAGAACTACGTATAGAAATACATACACGTGGCCAAACCAAAAAAACCAAACTGGTTGCCATCGAGCTAATTCTATAGCGACCCTATAGGGCAGGGTAGAGCTGCCCCATAGGGTTTCCAGGGAGCAGCTGGGGGATTTGAACTGCTGACCTTTTGGTTAGCAACTGAGCTCTTAACCACTGTGCCGCCAGGGCTCCATACATATGGCCAGAAAGGCCATATATAAAGAGAAATCAGTTGCCTTGCATCTTATTTCTAATTCTAAATTTTGCAGTAGTCAGGGCAAGCATGAAGGCTAAGGCCGTGACTCTTTTATGTATCCCTGCGTCTCTAGTGCCTCACACATGGTAGGTGCTCAATACATAATAATAATAGCTAGTATTTATAGTTTATTAAGAGCTTTACACTTATTTTATTTAAACCTCAAAACAACCTAATGAGGTAGGTATTCTCCATTTTACAAATGAGAAAACTAAGCTATTGAGAAGTTATGCAACTGCCACATAGGTAGTACGTGCCAGAGGAGAGATTTGTGCCCAGCCATCCCATATTCTTTCTTGCTACATAACAGAACACCCCTAAAACTGAGCGATTTAATAAACATTTATTATCTCGGTTTCTGTGGGTCAGGAATTCGGGGATGGCCTAACTGGGTATTTCTGGTTCAGGGTTTTGGATAAGGTAGCACCAGGGCTGCAGTCATCTGAAGGCTTGACTAGATCTGCTTCCAATGTGGCTCAGTCATGTGGTTGGCAAGTTAGTGTAGGTTATTGGCTTGGTGGCCCTTCCCATATGGCCTCTCTACAGGCTGCTTAAGAAGTCTCAGGGTGACGCAAACATTTATGCACTGGACTACTAACCGAAAGGTTGGCAGTTGGAACCCACCCAGAGGTGCCTCTGAAGAAAAGTTCTGGCAGTCTGCTTCTGAAAGGTCACAGCCTTGAAAACCCTATGGAGCAGTTCTACTCTGCACACATGGGGTTGATGTGACTCAGAATCAACTCGATGGCAATTGGTTTTTGTTTTGTATAGGTTACTTAAGTGTCTTCCTGACAGGGTGGCTGGCTTTTCCCAGACAGTGATGAGAGAGTACATACCAAGGCAGAAACTGTTCTCTTAATGACCTGTCTCTCAGAAGTCAAACAGCATCACTTCTGCCTCATTCTGTGCATTAGAAGGCATCACCAACTCTGGCCCACATTTAAGCAGAGAGAAATTAGACCCCATCTTTTGAAGGGAGAAATGCCAAAGAATTTGCAGGCATAATTTAACACCACCACACTTCCTGATTCCAGAGCCCACTCTTCTTTTCATTAAGCTATTGTTGAACAAATGAATGTGAATTTCTCAGCTTGATACATTGGCACTATATCTTCTATTTAAATAAGTGCCATTCCTTTAAACGACATTAAAACATTTTATTTTTAATCTTCACCTAGGACTTCCATGGTGAATATGCCAACAAATAGTGTTGCCATTTCCTAGATTATTTTACTGAGCAACAACTGGCTGCTAGGCAATGTTTTAGGCTTGCAGAATACAGTAGGAAATAAAACATAGCCTCTATTTTGGTAACATAAAACTTAAGCTCTTGGGAATAGATATCCTGCCATGTTAATGGTGTATCTAGGAATAGGACCAGCTATAGATTTAGGTTCACTACCTGTTGGCAAGTCCTGCTTTTTAGTATAATAATAGATGTTCCTAAATTTTAGATCCTAGGGAAGTTCACATGGAAATTTGCCTTACCATATGGAATTTTTATAGGGCTAGGAATTTTTTTTTCCTTTTTTAAAAATTATTTAGAAATTTGAGGGAGATGATAATAGTAGTCCTTTATATGAAGACATGGAAGTCCTTTATATTTCTTATCCTGTTATAGTGAGGTTGCATATTCAGATAATCAGAGTATATCGAATATTTTGTTTGTTTATTGTCATTCCCTTCCCATTAGTAAATAAGCTTCATGAGAGCAGGAGTTTTGTGTGTTTTGTTCATTGTAGTAGTCCCAGCTTTAGAACTGTGCTTGGCATGTAATAAGAGCTCAGTAAATATTTACTGAAGGAATGACTTATTGACTCCTTCATATCTAACATTGTTTCTGTTCTTTCTTCAGTGCCTAGCACAGTGCCTACCTCAGACATAGTAGTTGCTGGAACTAAGATTATTTGAAAAAACCAAAAAAACCTGAACCCGTTGCCATCCAGTGGATTCTGATTCATAGTGACCCTGTAGGACAGAGTAGAACTGCCCCAGAGGGTTTCCAAGGAGCGGCTGGTGGATTCGAACTGTCGACCTTTCGGTTAGCAGCCAGCCTCTTAACCGTCATGCAACCAGGGCTAAATCACATACGTGTACCTTTTTAATTCAACCTTTGTGCTCTCGTACATTGGTAGTATTTCAGAGACAAAAGGTTTATTTGCGTAGAAGCAGAAGCGGACGTGAAGTGGACCTGACTTTTGCATTTAATGCGGAGCTGGGTTGTTTTTTAATTGTTGCTGTTTGCTGTTTTATTTTAAAGGTCTCTTTTTCAGCATTCAGGAGTTAGTCCAAGTGTTGCTGATTTTAAAGGTCTCTTTTTCAGTCATTCAGGAGTTAGTCGAAGTGTTGCTGTAGTGACTGCTTTTATGATGAAGACTGAGCAACTTACCTTTGAAACAGCCTATGAAAACCTCAGGACTGTCAATCCAGAGGCTAAGTGAGTTTCTTTCTTATGGTAATACTTCTGCTTTTGTGATATGATTTTATTTAAAGAAAAGTGAACTTGGTATTTGTCATTATAGGATGAATGAGGGGTTCGAGTGGCAACTGAAATTATACCAAGTAATGGAATATGAAGTGGATACCTCTAGTGCAATTTATAAGCAATATCGTTTACAAAAGGTTACAGAGAAGTATCCAGGTATGTAATAATTGCTAATATGTATTGGGCCCTTTCTGTATGCCATTTACTCTAGCACTAAACGCTTCAGGTGTGTCTTAGTCATCTAGTGCTGCCGTAACAGAAATACCACAAGTGGATGGTTTTAACGAAGAGAAATTTATTTCCTCACAGTCAAAGTAGGCTAAAAGTCCAAATTCAGGGTGTCAGCTCCAGGGGAAGGCTTTCTCTCTCTCGGCCTTCTCATCAGTGTTCCCCTGGACTAGGAGCGTCTCTGCGCAGGGACCCCGGTCCAAAGGACTCCCTCTGCTCCTGGCACTGCTTTCTTTATGATATGAGGTCCACTTGTCTCACTGCTCACTTCTGTCTTTTATATCTCAAGAGATTGCCTCAGGACACAATCCAGTCTTGTAGATCAGGTCCTGCCTTACTAACACAACTGCCACCCATTCTCCCTCATTAACATCATAGAGGCACGATTCCCAACACAGTACCAGGAACCATGGCCCAGCCAAACTGATACACACATTTTTGCGGGGACTTCATACAAACCATGACAAGGTATATTATCTCACTTAAACTTTCCAGTAAACCCTTGAGACAGGTAATGCTGTTTTCCTTTGGAAACTGTGGCTTAGAGAGAAATAACTTGTTCTAGGTCACGTGTCTTATAAGTGGCAGGGCTGGGATTTGAACTCAGGTATTCTGTGCCCAGAACCCAAGGACTTAATCACTATGTTCTCCTATATCATCCTGATTTCTCAGTGCTGGAGATTTTATTTTTTATTTATTTATTTTTATTTCTGAGGTTAGCACTTGCTATCTCAATTTGACATTAACTGAATTTTGTCTGAAAATGCAGAGAGTTGATTTAGACAAATGGATATGTTTTGTTTTTGTCATGTAGAATTGCAGAATTTACCTCAGGAACTCTTTGCTGTTGATCCAACCAGCATTTCACAAGGATTGAAAGATGAGGTTCTCTACAAGTGTAGAAAGTGCAGGTAAAATATGTTATATCCTCTGAAGATTTTGTCTTACCTCAACAGCTGAAAAATAAAGCTTCGATTTCTTTTATCTCTCTAGGAAGAATTTGTTTAATTGAATAATATAGAAATTTCAAATTTGAGTCTACTTTCAAGAAGAGTATAAATTTTTAAAAGGAAGAGTAATCAGACTATAGAGATTGTTGAGAATAAAAGCATAATCAATGTTATATTATTTTGTCTTTTAAGAAAAACTACACGTTTCATCTATTTTTTCATCCTTTTGGGAAGTAGTAATTAATGTTCTGTGTTTGTTTGGGGGTTGCAGGCGATCCTTATTTCGAAGTTCTAGCATTTTGGATCATAATGAAGGAAGTGGTCCGATAGCCTTTGCTCACAAAAGAATGACACCATCTTTCATACTTACGAAAGGGAGTCAGGCTCAATGTACCTCTTATTTCATTGAACCTGTACAGTGGATGGAATCCATTTTGTTGGGAGTGATGGATGGGCAGGTAAGAACACATTTTATTTTTTATAATTTTATTATATCAACTACATTTTGTTCCCTCTTTTATTTTAAGCTAATTTTAACTAGTGCTTGACTCCATCTTAACTCCATTCCTTCTGAAAATTATATTTCTCTCTGTGGTAGGTAAGAATCTATCAAGAATAAATTAATTACAAAAAGCAGCTGACCCAAAATAATGAACAAGTTTTAGTTGAGAGCCCTGAATCTAAGTTAATGAATTCCTTTTAAGGCTATTTATATTTTTTCAAATATAAGACTAAATAACATGATTTTTTAAAAAACTAATTAGAATATATTTGACAAAACTTGAACTTGGTAACAGGTAGGGCAAATCAAGGATTTTAAAATTTCTTCTTTTTCGTTGGTTTCACGTATGGCTCTTTCTTTTTTTGCCCTAATCTTTGACTCTAGTATGTTTTCTATGAGATCCTTTTTCATTTCTTATTAATTCTAAAAAATGCAGTTCATTTTATATGAAGGTCATGTGGCAGCCACATTTCTCCTTTAGCTTTATTTGATATTAATCTGAAGGCATTCTGTAATAATAATCTTAACAGTGATTTTAGGTGTTTGCATAGTGTTTTATATTCGATGAAACCCTTTCACTGTGTTATTTTATTGGAATACAAATGACACTATTTGGATACAAATAACATTAATTAGGTATTCACATTTTATACATTATACAAACTTAGTTTACATTAGTTAGTATCTTGACTAGAAAGTGTACTCTATATTCAACCCAAGTTTTTAGACCATGCTGCTCTTTGAAAATCAGCTTTATTGAGATATAATTCACATACTGTACAATTCACTCATTTAAAGTGTACAACTCAGTAGATTTTAGCATATTCACAGAGTTTTGCAACCATCACTACAATCAATTTTAGAATATTTTCGTCGTCCCCAAAATGAATCCCAGGCCTATTAGCAGTCATTTCTCATTCCTTCCAACCCCTCGTTCTTCTCCCCCCATTTAGCCCTAGGCAACCTAATCAACTTTTTGTCTCTGCAGATTTGTCTCTTCAGGACATTTCATTTAAATGGAATCATATAGTATATAGTCTTTTATGACTAGTTTCTTTCACTTAGCCTAGTGTTTTTGAGGCCCTGGTGGTGCAGTGGTTAAGAGCTATGGCATGCTATGGCTGCTAACCAAAAGGTTGGCAGTTTGAATCCACCAGCTGCTCCTTGGAAACCCTAGAGAGCAGTTCTGCTCTGCCCTATAGGATTGCTATGAGTCAGAATTGATTCGACAGCAACGGGTTAATGTTTTTGAGGTTCATCCATGTAACAGCATGTTTCAGTACTTCATTCCTTTTTGTTGTTGTTGTTGAATAATATTCCAGTGTGTGATTATACCACATTTTATTTATCTCTTTATCAGTTGATGAACATTTGGGTTGTTTCCACTTTTTGGCTATTATGAATAATCTGCTATGAACATTCATGCACAGGTTTTTGTGCGGATGTATTTCTGTCTCTCTCGGTGTATTGGTTTCCTAGGCCTGCCATAAAAAAGTACCACATACTTGTGGCTTATTAGAAATTTATTGTCTCACAGTTCTGGAAGCTAGAAGTCCAAATCAGTGTGTCAGTTGGGCCATCCTTCCTCTGAATTCCCTAGGGGAAGATCCTTTCTTGTCTCTACCACCTTCTGGTAGCCCCAGGCCTTCCTTGTCTTTTAGATGTATCTTCACTTTCTGTCTTTCTGTGTCTCTTTTCTAAGGACACCACTTAGATTGGATTAGGACCCACCCTACTCTAGTATGACCTCATGTTAACTTAATTGATAGGTAGATCTTCAAAGACCCTATTTCCAAACAAGGTCACATTCACAAATACATGGATTAGGGCTTCAGTTTATCTTTTGGGGGGACGCAGTTCAATCTGTAACACTTGGGTGTATACCTAGGAGTGGAATTGCTGGGTTATATGGTAACTCAATATTTAACATTTTGTGGAACTGCCAAACTGTTTTCCAAAGCAACTGCACTGTTTTACATTCCTACTAGCAATGTATGAGGGTTACAATTTCTATATCCTTTTTAACACTTTTTATCTGTCTTTTTGATTCTTGCCTTCATAGCTGGTATGAAGTGGAATCTCATTGTGGGTTTGACTTGCATTTCCCTAATGGCTAATGATGTTGAGATTGTTGCTGGGAACTTTGGGATCTGCTCAGCGTAACTCCATTAGGGCCAAAAAGACAGAGAGTTGGGGAGAATGAAAGGCAGCTTTATTGGTTGGCCAAGCAAGGAGACTGTTGGGGCTGCGTGCTATCCAAGACTGCCTTGCAGGCAGCTTGTTGAAGCTGGTTTATATAGGCAGGATCAGTTTCAGAATACAAAATGGCATGCATGCAGGCACTGAGTGTTTTAGGATGAGTAAGCATTTTCTAAAGCCCAGGTTCCATTCCCCACGCAGGGGAAACTTAGTCACTTTTGTTCATTAGCATGTCAGCTCTCCACCCAAGGGCAGAGAATTTACCATGCATGAAGCAGTTAACGAGCTAAAGTTCATCTGGAATGCACGGATGTGTTACCACCGAGGGCATGGAGGCCCTCCGACTCAATGGGTCTGTCTTTCTCTTGTAAGAATACACAGAGTAGACAATTTTTGGGTTCAGCTCTAACAGGTTTATTTTACTTGTGACAAGTAAAAGGAGTCAGTAGGGGCTCATGCCTCTCCAAAGGACTAATTTGCAAGGGGAGGCAAGGCTAGGGCTTGTATGGATTCGGTGGGGACGATTCAGTGGGTTTCGCTGATGCGCTAGTTACTCCCTGGAATGGTAGTGCATACTAATTAGGTTGTATGGGCATCTGGATTCCAAGATGGAACCCGCTGATATTCAAGACGGAATCCCCTTGGCATCACTTATTATGGGATATGGCGCGGGCACACTGATCTTCTGTACTACTTCGCCCCCTTCTGTGGGCCAAGGGAGATCAAACAGTGTCACACTTTGTTCTTCTGCCCATGCGGAGCCTGTAAAAAGGGGGAAGGGACTAGAAAAACACTAAGGAGGAAGTAGTAATTCATGGATTGTTTTAACCTTATTTTATGTTGACAGGATGTGGTTCCTGATTACCCAACTTCTAAGTGGTAATCTTTTAACAGCTCTTTTATTCCACCAGCACAGTTAACCCTATCTGTCTCAGATGGAGGGCAGGACCTGTTTCAGCTGATTATGGCTAGCTGGTGGCTGTTTCTCTTTAAGGAGGTCCTGAGGAGGAAAAAAAAGAACTCTAGGAAATAGGCTGAGTGAGGGGCTGTCTTGAGGCTCTATGGCTCTAAGACTGTCTTAGGATGTTTCTATGTGCTTATTAACCCATTGCTATTGAGTCGATTCCGACTCATCGTGACCCTATAGGACAGAGTAGAACTGCCCCACAGGGTTTCCAAGGAGCAGCTGTATTCGAACTGCCGACCTGTTGGTTAGCAGCCAAGCTCTTAACCACTGTGCCACCAGGGCTCCATGTGCTTATTGACCAGTATATATCTTCCTTGGAGAAATGTCTGTTCAGATTCATTGCTCATTTTTTAATCGGGTTATATAACTTTTTATTGTTGAATACATGTAAGTATTTTTTATATATTCTGCAAACAGGTCTCTTTTCAGACAAATATTTTCTTGCATTCTATGGGTTGTCTTTTCACTTTCTTGGTGATATCTTGATAGTATTGTTTGCAGCATTAGAGCTTTGATTTTTGATGGAGTCCTGTTTATCTACTTTTTTGTTGTTTGTGCTTTTTTGGCTTGCTGCTTTTGACCTGGAAAACACACAAACACACACACACACATTCACACACATTTACACACGATATACAAACATTATTTTGTGAAAGATTCTACATCACATTTGTGCATGCGTCTTTGTACACATATTAGAATTTTTCTATAGACTATGTACCTAGAGGGAAACCCTGGGGGCATAGTGGTTAAGAGCTACAGCTGTCAACCAAAAAAGTCGGTATGTTAGAATCCACCAGGTTCTTCTTGGAAACTCTTTATGCAGTTCTCCTCTGCCCTCTAGGGTCGCTATGACTCTACAGCAACAGGTATGGTTTTGGGTTTAGGTACCTAGAAGTGGAATTCCTGGCTTGAGGAGTATACATTTTAAATTTTACTAGTATTTCAGGCTGACATTCAAAAAGCCCATACCAATTTGCCTTTCATCAACAGTGACTGCATGTAACCATTTCCCCATATACTTGGCTTAATGCATATTATAAAGCTTAGTGAGTTTTGTCAATCTGTAAGGTGAAAAATGTTAATCCTAAAATGTTTTAATTTGAATTTTCATGATTACTACTGAGGTCTAACATCTTTACATATTTATCAGCCGTTTATAACTTCTTTTCTATAAACTGCCTTCACATTCTTGGCCCATTTGTCTGTGGGATTTGTCATTTTCTTATCCATTTGTAGGAGCTCTTTCTTTGTTCTAGGTAGTAATGCTTCATCCGATACATTGCAAATATTTCCTGTAGTCTGTTGTTTATCTCGACTTTGTGGTATATTTTGTCATATTAAAATTTAAGATATTTGTATAATCAAAGGTGTCAGTTTTTTTTCCGTTATGGATTCTTGAGTTTTATGTCCAGGCTTTCTGTGCCCCAAGATTAAAAATAAAAATTTCCATCTCATACCATGAACAAATTAAAGAACTAAATGTAAAAAACATTGCTATAAATACATTAGAAGGAGGTAGACTTGTTAAGCTTTTTTAGATTTATCTATTTTACTGGAGTATCAGCTTGTTTGGAAACACTGGTGGCATAGTGGTTAAGTGCTATGGCTGCTAACCAAAAGGTTGGCAGTTTAGTTTCACCAGGGCGCTCCTTGGAAACTCTATGGGGCAGTTCTACTCTGTCCTGTAGGGTCGCTGTGAGTTGGAATCGACTTGAGGGCAATGTTTTTTGTTTTTTTTTTTAAATCAGCTTGTTTGTTTGTTTTTAAATAGCTAGGATCTGAGATGGACTAATTTATATGCTATCAGTATCAGTTAGTGATAGAACATGAGATTCTGAACAAATCCTAACATGCTTTTATATTGTTTAGCCATTGTGCTTTTAGTTTGAAATCTTAAATTGCAGACTGATTTAAAAGCTATACATATATGCTACATCCATGAAACCTTCCTTAATCATCTCTCAAGCTTTACCTTTCTCCCCTCAAGCTGGAATTAATCTGTTTTTCCTCTAAAGTCTCATAGTACAACATGTCTCATACATAGCTATTGTAGTCTGCCATCTGTTACAGTAACTTGCAGATGCATTCTGTGTCAGTGATTAGATTGTAAACTCCTTGAAGATAGAAACCATGTGTTACCTGTTTTTATATGCTATATAATGCCAAAGATAATTATTTGTTTTGTATAAATGTGAATGAATGACATGACACATTTGCTTTATTTCAGCTTCTTTGCCCAAAATGCAGTGCCAAGTTGGGTTCCTTCAACTGGTATGGTGAACAGTGCTCTTGTGGTAGATGGATAACACCTGCTTTTCAGATACACAAGAATAGAGTGGATGAAATGAAAATACTACCTGTTTTGGGATCACAAACAACAAAAATACAGACTTGTGACATTTGATAGCTTTGAAAGAAACTTGTTGATGATTGATACGTGCTACCCTTGCATATTGTCCTTTTTGACAGATTTTCTAGTTTTTGGGTCATCAGCATTTCATTTGAAATGTGAGAAGATAAAATCAGTTGATGTGACTTGGAAACTATGCTTTCTTAGTTTATTGTATTATATAGGTAGAATAACTGATAGAGAAATTGAAGCTTTTTAATTGTGTACATTGTACTTCATTGGCTGTTAGAATCTTCATTACCTCTAGATATGTTGTTTCCTGTATTTTGAATAGTTCTGATTTTTGAATGTTAGTTTTGTGATCTTACGGTCTGGAGAGACAAAACTATGTACAAAAATTAAAAATAGTCATGTTTAAATAGATATTCTTTTACTTCCAGAAATGTAAAGCAGATTTATTTGGCCATATTTTGAAATTTATTTTTTTAAGAGACATCAGAAAATCTTAAGTATGTCTGGATTTTTCTTGGATACGTAGAAAGGCACTGATAAAAAAGTGATTTTTCTGTTACTATTTAAGAATTCCAATAATCTAAATTGTTTAGAAAAGCATATTTGAGATATCTCTTGAGGTAATCTACATGAAGAAATGTATTAATGTGAGGTGTGTTTCTAATGATAATAAAGAAAACAAATTCTTAAAACCCAAAAATAGGAGTAATTTTAAATGTAAAGGGAAAAAAATGAATAATGATCCTCTTTAAAAAAAAATGCCTGGCTTAATTTTTTAAATGTATGGGAGTTTTATGGATGATTCTTGAGAAAATCTCAACATAGGACCCGAAACCTTTGGCAACTTCCATATATTAATCTTTTCTTGTGAGAATATAAAGTATTACTACTGAAAACTGACAGTTGTTCTTAAGTTAGTTTTGGCAGCCAAGGTTGCTGTGTCCTTCCAGCCTCTCCCAGAATAAATGATACATATAAATCTGCTGCATTTTTATTGTGTTTCTTTCATAATCTACTGAGTCCTCTGTTTCACAAATAAAGCAAAAGGATTTACTGTGGGCCAAGAACAAAAGGGCCTGACTTTGGGCATACACTGTGGGTGGAGATGTTTAGAAAATTGTAACGCTTCCCCTCCAAAAGTAATCTGGAGACTCACTAGAGGGGCCTGCTGTAGACACTAGTCATGCCCTCTGTCATCCCTTCCCACCACTTCAGTAGAGCAGTGCCAGCACTGTGCTCAGGACTGGCACTAAAAGGAAATTAAAAACCAAATGCTTTGCCTTCGAGTTGATTCCAACTCATACTACCCCGTAGGACAGAGTAGAACTACCCCATAGGGTTTCCAAGGAGCACCTGGTGGATTCAAACTGCCAACCTTTTGATTAGCAGCAGTAGCACTTAACGACTACACCACCAGGGTTTCCCAAAAAGGAAATCAGGAGCAGGTTAACTATGACAGGAACAAAATACCTGTTGGGTCTGATATGAGGCTTCTTTTTGTTCTGCTCAGAAAACCACATAGTGTATTAATAAAGGTATACTTTTCTAAAACTAATGCTAGTGAATGTAGTATAATCTGAACTTGAAATCTTCCTCCATTTCTATCTTAGCTTTCATAGAATCTGTTCAACTCTTTGCTGTATTATCCTCCAGAAAGCGTTTTAAAAAAAAGAGATTGAACTACATAAAACTGCTTTTTTGTAGGTGAAAAATAATTGAATAGCAGCAGTTTCATATGGCTCAAGTTAATGCTTACCCATCACACACTGTAGCACCTAGCAGAGAGAATTATGTAAATCTTATTTGAATTTATAGTTGTTAATTCAGTAAATATTTACTGGGCATCTATTATGTGCACAATTGTAGGTGATACGGTGAACATACCAGATAAAGCCCCTCCCTTTTTGTAGCTTATATTCTAGCCAGGAGAGATAGACAAGATGATACCTATTTAAAAAGATAATTGGTATTTGCCAGTGAGGAATGATTTTGGAAAACTTAACTTTATGTAAATGCTGAAGTTCTGTGCAATATCCACCGAACAAAATTATAGATTTAAAGTCCTCTAATGTTCTGCTTTTGGAGGATAGATAAAATCTATTATGCCTTTGTTCTTTAAAACAAAAAGAGTCCTTTTAAATAATCCGTTTAGGAATATCAACTTTAACAATTTAGATTTGTACATTTGTTGAAAATAGCAGTATTATCTCAGACGCAATGTGGTGCCATGAAAACAGTAATGAAGTAGAAGTCAGAAGAATGTGCTCTCACTCTGGCTCCACTGATCACCGTCTTTCTGAAAGTGAGCAGGTCTTTTGAAAATTGAGGGTCAGTTTTCCTTGGGAAATGGGGTTAATATATGCTCTACCTTCCTGACAGGGTTGTTTTAAAGATCATTTGCATTAACCTTAATTCCTTCTTATATAAAATGGAGATACCAATAGTATCCATATCTGGTTTATTATGAGAATTTTATGTATCATACTTAAAGAATAGTGTCTAGCTAAGAGCATTCAACAAGTTTTCCTTAAAATACCACCATTTATTGAGCACTCACCAGGCGCTAGTCACTGTGCTAAGCACTGTATACGTATTTTCTAATTTAGTCCTTACGACAACCTTAAAAGTAGGTTCTCTTATTATACCCATTTTACTGATGAAAATGAGGCTTAGAAGATTAAGTCACTTCCTCAAAGTTACATTGCTGGTAAATGGCTGAACATAGATTAGAATCAAGACCTGGTGACTCCAAATCTTGAGTTTTTGATCTCTGTATTCTAATGTTTGGGTTTACTGTTCAGGGTGATACATGTTCTCAAAATATATTGAAAATGTTGATCAGATTGTAAAATCCAATAGTATTGATGAAATGCAATTTTAAACCAAGTTGTAAATTCACTAGTCAGGTCCCCCACCAACATTTGCATGGTTCTGAACAAGAGTAAAAATTGAGGCCCACATGATATTTGTCTTTTAAAATTGTAAATCAAGCTACATAACTTAAATGGTTCATTCTCTTATCTTGAAAAATATATCTTTGTAACGACCTGGAAGGCCAGCTCTGACCTGACAGTTCTCTGACTATGGAGTTCCATGACGAAACATGGCAATGTAGGAAGAGTTGGCCCCTGATGTCCAGGTTGCCACCTTTCTCTCTCCACCCCTGGATTTGTTCTGTACCATGAGGAGCCTCGTACCTATATGTGTGGACTCCGCACCTCACATGTCTAATCTCTGTCTATCTCTGGCATACACTATTATGCAGTTCACCTGTGTGAGATCAGAGTCCTGACGAAGCCCTAGAATTAGACTTGGAGCTGTTGTGGATTGAATTATGTCCCCCCAAAAATGTGCGTATCAATTTGGCTGGGCCATGCTTCCCAGTGTTGTGTGGTTGCCTGCCATTTTGTGATTGTAATTTTATGTTAATTAGGGTGGGATTGTAACACCCTTACTAAGGTAACATCCCTGAGCCAATGTAAAGGGGGTTTCCCTGGAGTGTGGCCTGCACCACCTTTTATCTTACAAGAGATGAAAGCGAAGCAAGCAGAGAGTTGGGGACCTCAAACTGCCAAGAAAGCAGTGCCGGGAGCAGAGCGTGTCCTTTGGACCCGGGGTTCCTGTGCAGAGAAGCTCCTAGTCCAGGGGAAGATTGACGAGAAGGACCTTCCTCTAGAGCTGACAGAGAAAGCCTTCCCCTGGAGCTGATACCCTGAATTTGAACTTCTAGCCTACTAGACTGTTAGCAAATAAATTTCTCTTTGTTAAAGCCATCTACTTATGGTATTTCTGTTTATAGCAGCACTAGGTGAGTAAGGCAGGAGCTATTTGGGCTATTTGGGTATCAGAAGCATGTCTAGAAGGGGAGTGTGGGCTCTGGGCGCATCACTTTTGCATCATGGATTCTTACCCTATGGGGAGAGACACAGCCAATAGAAGGCCAGAGTAGAGTCCTCTAAAGTGTGGGTCCAGGCCAGGGGCTCTTACCTAGAGAGAACAGTATTGCCTCTAGGTATAAAGTTCTCTTTCAAATTTTATTTCTCTTCCAACGGTTTAAGTTGAAAGCAAATGAGGAGTAGATTCAAGAAAAAGGTTTCAATAACGTCAATGCTTATAATTAAAAACAAAAAACAAAAAACACCTTGGTAACTAGAAATGGAAGTAGTTGTTAGCTGCCCTCAAGTTGGCCTCTGACTCATGGCAACCCCATGCACAATGGACCCAAATGTTGCTCAGTCTAACACCATCCCCATGATTGACTGTAGATAAGACCATTGTGACCCACAGGATTTTCATTGGCTGATTTTTGGAAGTGGATCACCAGGTCTTTCTTCCTAATCTGTCTTAGTCTGGAAGATCCGTAGAAACCTGTTCAGCAACATAGCAACACACAAGCCTCCCTGACAGACTGGTGGTATCTTCATGAGATGCACTGGCTGGGAATTGAACCCCAGGTCTTCTGCATTAAAGGTGAGAATTCTACCACTGAATCAGAGTATATGAAAAATCTACAGGGGAAGAAAAATCTTACTTCATGGTAAAACTTTAAAAATGTTCCTTTTCAAGTTGAGAACAAGTTAAAGATGCCTACTCTTGTCCTTATCTTCAATATTGTACTAGAAGTCCTATTCATTATAATAAAACAAGGAGGGGAATAAGGTATAAGACTTAGAAAAGACCTGAACTCACTGATAAATCTTGAGATCTCTAAAAGTGGGGCAACTGGAATTATGTGCTTCCTGATGTGCACCACCTATGAATTCTTTTTGTAAGAACAAGCTAGCAAACAAAAACAAGAAAAACCAACTCAATCATGTCTCTAGATTTAACTGCCTGTCATTTGTTACAGCATTCACCTTCAAGATAAAATCAGCCTAATCACAAAGTTGGGGAAGAATATTGAATATACCACGGACTGCCAAAAGAACAAACAAATGTGTCTTGGAAGAAGTACAGCCAGAATGCGCCTTAAAAGTGAGGATGTCGAGACTTTGTCTCACATACTTTAGACTTTTTATCAGGAGAGGGATCAGTCCCTGAAGGACAACATGCTTGTTAAGTAGACGGTCAGCGAAAAAGATGAAGACCCTCAACAAGATGGACTGACACAGTGGCTGCAACACTGGGTTCAAGCATAACACTGATCATGAGGATAGCGCAGGACCGGGCAGTGTTTCGTTCTGTTGTGCACAGGGTTGCTATGAGTTGCAACCGACTCGACGGCACCTAACAACAATCACAAAGTGGGAAATTATATAGGACAAATTACTGACGTGCTTCAAATGGCATGGGGAAAAGAAAGAATTGTCATATGAAACAAATGCAATGTGACAATCTTCTTTGAATCCTGATTTGAATAAACCAACTATAGAAAGGCATTTCTGAGACAAAATTGAACATGTAATAGGAATTAGATAACATTAAGGACTTATTAAATTTGTTGATTATATAATGGTATTGTAGTTATGTAAAAAAAAAAAAAAGGCAAAGAACATGCCTTATCTGTTAGAAATACATAGTGAAGTATTTTTGGGTGAAATAATATGATGTCTGAGATTTGCTTTAAAATACTCCAGGTAAAAGGGGAAAAAAAGAAAAATAAAAGTATCTGGGGGAGAAGGAATAGACAAAATAAGAACGACAAATTGTTGAAGCTGGGTGCTAGGAACAAAGGTATTCATTGTATTGTCTTTTGTGTTTCTTTGAAAATTTAACATGTTAAAGATTTTTTAAAGAATATCAAAATGTTAAAATTTAAGAATAAATATTAGAGAACATACAGACAAAATATTAGAATAACAGAATTCAGCAAGATTTTTGGACAAGATTAGTGTACAAAAGTCAATTGTGTTACTACATCCCAGCATTAACTGAATAGGGGGGAAAAAGAATGTGAAAACCAAAACTATAAAACTAGGAAAAGAAAATAAAAAACTCTTAATGACCTCAGGACAGGGAAGATTTCTTAAGCAAGATACAAAACAGCAGAGATCGTAAACAAAATAATAAATTATAAACAAAATGATAAATTTGGCTACATCGAAACTAAAACCTAGAGGACAAAATCCATAAACAAAGTTAAAGACAAGTGTCACCTGGAAGAAGATACTCGCAACGGTTAAATAAATAAATAAGGTAGATTATCTAAAGATCTACAAATCACTGAGAGAAAGAAAACCAATAGCAAACTTTAGAAAAGAATGGCAATTCACAAAAGAGGTAATCAATTGGTTTAATAAACATGAAAAGATGCACCACTCTTTAATTGTTAAAAAAACCCGTTGCGATTGAGTCGATTACGACTCAGCTACCCTGTAACACAGAGTAGAACTGCCCCACAGTGTTTCCAAGGAGCGTCTGATGGATTCCAACTGCCAACTTTTTGGTTAGCAGCCATACCTGCTAGGGAAATATAAACTATAGTCAAACCTTTCACCTAGGCAAATATTTTTAATGTGTGACCATATCTAATGTTGATGAGAAGGTAGCAAAGAAAACCCCAATCACTACTACTTACAGGGTAAATAGGTATAATTTGCAAGTAATGACATTGAAAATAGGCCTACTCTATGACTCAGCATGTGATCTTAAAGACATTTTTGCATACATGCACAAGGAGGCCCATTTAAAGATGTATTATGTAACAGTAAAAAATTGGGAACAATCCACTATCAGTAGGGAAATAGAAAAAAAAAAATTGTGATATATCATTCGAGGAAATACCATGTAACAGTTAAAACGCAGCTGGGTGCTGCAGAGTGGATTCCACTCCTACACCGAGTAGAATTGTCCCATCGGGTTTTCTAAGCTATAATCATAGCGACCCCATGTGACAGTAGAATTGCCCTATAGGGTTTTCTAGGCTATAACCTTTACAGCAGCAGATTGCCAAGTCTTTCTCCCCAGGAGTCCGAAGGTGGGTCCTGTACGTGGCGTCACTAGGGGCGTGCGGGGGTGCGGCCCCGACACTCAGAGAGGGTGACACCAAAACGACCCCAGGGTCCGCGGTGACGGCAGGCGGGCCGGAGCCGCCGGGGGAGGGGCCACTAAGGCAGTGCCGCCAATGGGAGAGGGGAAGAGCGGCGGAGAGTCGCGCGGGGCGGGGCCGGGAAGGATGAGACCACACCGCGCCGCACTCGGCCCACGAGCTGGGTTGGGGCCGGGGCTCGCGTGTGGTGGTAACAGCTTGAGGAGTTACTGCACTGGATGGCGGGTGACACCACCACCAACCTTTTGGTTAGCAGTTGAGGCTTAACCGTTGAGCCACTAGGGCTCTTTAAAACACAAGTAGAACCTAAAAAAGTAATGAATGAGAAAAGTGATTTGGAGAACATTGAGTATGGTACATTGCTGTAAATTTGAAACTTAAAACAATACTAAATGTATGTATCTATAAATATATTTAAGCACGGTAAAAGCAAAAATAAAAACGGACTTCAACAATACCTATAAAACTCGTGACAGAAGTTGTCTATGTAGAAGGAGGGACATGAACCACGGGAAAAAAGCAGACTTCAACTTTGTAAATTGTTTTTTTTTTTTTTATTGTACTGTACTTTAGATGAAAGTTTACAGAACAAATAGTTTCTCATTCAACAGTCAGTACACATATTGTTTTATGACATTCGTTAACAACCCCATGACATGTCAATACTCCCCCATCTTGACCTTGGAGGACATTTTTTTTTTTGGTGAAAATATACATAACCAAAGTTACGCGATTTCAAAAGTTTCTACATGTACAATTCAGTGACATTGATTACATTCTTCCAGTTGTGCTGCTGTTCTCACTATCCTTTTCCAAATTATTCCATCACCATTATCTTCAACTCACTGCCCCCTAGGCTTCCCATCAAACCTTTTGAATTGCTGTTTCCAATTTGATCTCACATAGGTAATTTTTTTTTTATTTGTACCTTAGATGAAGGTTTGCAGAACAAATAGTTTCTCATTAAACAGTTAGTACACATATTGCCCTATGACAATGGTTAACAACCCCACAACTTGTCAACACTGTCCCTTCTCAACCTTGGGTTCCCTATCACCAGCCTTCTTGTCCCCTCCTGCCTCCTAGTCCTTGTCCCTGGACTGCTGGGCCTCATTAGTCCCGTTTTATGAGGCTGTCCAATCCCTGGCTGAACGGTGAACTTCAGGAGTGACTTCACCACTGAGCTAAAAGGGTGTCCGGGGGCCACACTCTCCGGGTTTCTCCAGTCTGCCAGGCCAATAAATCTGGTCTTTTTTTTGAGTTAGAATTTTGTTCTACATCCTTTTCCAGCTCTGTCCAGGACCCTCTATTGTGATCCCGGTCAGAGCAGTCAGTGGTGGTAGCCAGGCATCATCTAGCTGTACTGGACTCAGTCTGGTGGAGGCCATGGTAGCTGTGGTCCATTAGTCCTTCATCTTTTCCTTGTATCCTTCAACTTTGTAATTCTTAATTTCTTGTATTATGAAAAATCTGAAATAAAAATGAAAAATGTCAATATTTGTTAATGCTTGGTGATAGGTTCACAAATGTTTCATAATTATCTGCACTTTATGAATAAAAATTAAAATCTTCAAAATTAAATAAGTAAGGAAAACTTGCTGGAGTTCAGTCATGGTGATTTTCTTAACAGACTAAAGTGTGTGGCCGATGCAGAATAAGAAATTTGCTGATTTTATTTTTGTTTTTCTCTCAATTTTTGAATTTGTCATTGTGTGAGAAAGAAAGTCTAATAAATTTCATCTTAAATGAAAACTGATTAGTTATCTGATGGCAGAAGGAATTACATTAATATAAGGGGATTGATTTCTTGACATTTTTCTGCACCTGGGTCCCAGGGCTATTTGTATACAGTGGATTATGTAACTTGTTGTAATCATCTAGCCACGAGGAGTTTGGAGAATTCTCGGAAGCATTTCTGTTTTGTTTAGTAACCATGGGAAAGATACCCACTTGGTCCTAGAGGGATACGTGTTCTTTTCCTGGTATGGCAGAGTATTTTAAATACGCACTGGCCGCTGAAATGCTTTAAAAAGAAATACTATATAGTATTTTCACTTGGATGGGTATGAATTTCTCAGTAAACTGGCTTGTTCCATGGACAAGCCAAAATTGGAATCTTAAATTTTAGTAATAAAAGTTGGGAATTTAGATTATTGTAGGGTTTCGTGTAGGCTCTTGGACATTCACTACGAAATACTATGCTTTAGAAATACATCCTAAGGAAGTATTTGGGCATGGAGAGTTTGTTATCTTATATACTAAATTTGTTTAAAATGTTTTAAGTAGGCTTTCTAGAAATATTTATAGTATTGCTTACCTCAGGTACTGTGCAAGTAAAGGCCATTTCTAACTAAAGAATGTGGAAAACCTGTTCGCGTTTTTCTTTTATACAGACTTGTGTATATGGAGAATTTTACATTGATAGCGAATTATTCGTAAAAATTAAATCAAATTTACCCTGTTAGTCTCGAAGTTTGTTACTTCTGAGATATCTAGCCTGTGGCATGAAGAAGCGTGTCCACGGAACAAGCCAATTTGTTCAGAAAGGGTTTTACTTTTCTTTTTTACTATTATCAATAAATTTTGTTTAACTAAAGCTGTGTGTTCAGTGCTCCTCCCGCTCCCCCCCTTAAAAGAACGGGACAGAAAAGTACTGAAGACTCCAAAAAGGAAATACTTACCCAGAGACGAGTTTAAATCAGGTTACCCGCTGACGTTCCCTCTTCGGTTTACACAAGCTTCACGTGCAATAGAAACTGTCTTCTTTCGGCCACCGTCTCGTCAGCGTTACGGAGAATTTTGTCCGCCTACCGCCGCCGTCCTAGATATTAGTCACCGAGTTCCAGGGTAGGGGAACGTGTGTTTTTGGGAAGCCGGCTGGCGTTGCCGGCACCATGGAGTCGCCTTTTAGCCCGGGACATCACCTCTCTCACAGGCCAGAGGAAGATTGGGGTGAGTGGGATCTGAGAATGTACTGACGGTGACTTGGGTCCGCTTCTCTGGGGTTTTTCCTGCCTACTTCCGCCCATTCGTGGTGACAGGTGTGGGCTAACCCTGCCCGGGGAGCTCGGGCCACTCATTGCTCCCGTCCTTGGTAGTGGAAGAATCTCGTAGAATCGGTCGGTTTCTGGCTTGGACATAGCGAGAGTAAAATGTTGGCTAGTTGGAATTACTACCGTTTTCCCCTGTTGGTTTCCCGTTGAGGAAAGTACCAGGTGATCATTTTGTGGGAGGGAAACTTGACGTCGCGAGGAAACTTTGGGCAGGGTGTCTGTGACCACCGAAAAGGCTGCAAGCTATTTTCACAGGGTGGGATGTGGGCGGTGATCGCTGTGGAGTGCGTTTGTACGCGTGTGTGGTGTGAGAAAGAATGTCAACGTATACAGAAAATCTCATCTCACAACTTCCACTGTTGATCTAGGTTGGGGTCTATCTTGGTAGAGAAGCAAAACACCTAAGCGCCTGACCTGGAGTCCCTAGACCTAACGAACGCTTGTAAACTGATAAGATCCTGACTGCTGTACAGATACAGCTTTGAATTTTCTTGTTACAGATTGGTTGGTTGGTTGGTTTTGGTGGCCGGGGGCGACGGGTGGCATGGGGTGTAGTTGGAATGAGAATGGAAAAGCTTGATTTGTCATCTAAGTGTTTAGAGGAGACTTTTTCTCTCCTCTTGATTTCAAGACACAATACTAATACTGTATTTGGGCTCCATTGTGAATCTGGGATTGTGTGTCTGTTCATTGGAGTTTGGGGGGAGCCCAGACTGATCTTCCTCTTTCCCTCTTGGCATTCTTAGGGGCGATGGGGATCTTAATTCCGTTTATTGAACTGAAGTCCTCCTTTGATTTTCCAAGGGCAGAACTTCTTTAAAATTATATTCTGTTGGAGATTTATTTCAATCCTTGGGTAAATTTTCTAGAGTTGCTGGAAAAAAACTTAGACTATTCCCAGTGCGTTTTCCCAAGCCAAATATAGAAGTCAGAGTCATAGTTATCATTTGTTTAGCATTTTATTTTACGAGGCACCATGCTGTGCCCTTTATGTGCATTATTTTATTTAATCTCCACTACAGTCTGTTGAAGTAGGTACTGTTATTTTACAGTTGAAGAAACTGAGGCTGAGAGAGGTTGAGGGAGGATGAATGTTCAGGATCTTAGAGCTAGTGAGTGGCAGAGGCAGGATCAGAGCTAGGTTTATCTACCTCCAGAGCCTGTGCTCCTAGTCACTATTCTATCATGCTTTCCTAAATTATTTTTATAGATTTGATTTTTCCTAAGACACCCCCCCCAGTTATTAACAAACTGTTTTACTGTATTTTGAAGGTATGATTTTTCGCTCAGTTTGTTAACTTGTTGTATTTTCATTACGTTTCTTCAACTATAACTGTGGGGAGCTTCCAGGTAGCATTACATACTGTATTTGGTCTTCTGATACACAGACATTTTCCTGACTAATCTGATCAATTGATTCCAAATCTTAATGAAAACAATTTGTTCTTTAACATAGCATTCAGTTCTTTCCAGTCAATACACTGACTCAGCTCTCAGGTATCCTGCCCCTCCCTGAATGTGCCCATTTCCCATAGTTTTCCAGGTTTTCTTTTCCAAACTGTTAACAATCACTTCTTAGTTGAACACCTTAATTCTGTTTCTTTAGGTGTTAAGTTAGTAGGATAGATTTTGCGGGCATTAAAGTGAAACACTACTGTCTGTTAGTGTTTCTCAGTAAATATCAATTTGTTCTCTGGGACTAGCTATTTTGGGTGTTCAAGTCCTTCACTGATTTATTTAAAAAAAAAATTTTGTTTTTGAATATTAGAAGCTAGCCAGCTAAAATTTAAAAATAAGATCATGTGCTTCTTGTGACTCTAATAACTTTAAATAATTTAAATAAAGTGATTTGCTCTGGACATCCTATGATAGTGATTTGCTTTTCTTTTTCCATTCTGATTGGATAATGAAATCTGAATCATTCAGAGCAGAGGTCTGCAAACTTTTTTGTAAAGGCCTAGATAGTAAGTATCTGGGCTTGAGGGGTCATGTGGTTTCTGTTACAGCTACTCAGGGCTGCTGTTGTTGTGCAAAAGCAGACAAAGACGATGTAAACAAATGAGCATGGCTGTGTTCCAACAAAACTTTATTTATGGACACTGAAATTTGTATTTTATGTCTTTTCTCTTGTATTCTACTTTTGATTTTTTTTCAGCCATTACAAATGTAAAAACCATTCTTAGCTCCTGGGCTGTACAAAAACAAGTGTTTAGAGAAATGAAAGATTTAAAAAAAGTAAATTCAAAGCAAAGGATTTTGTTTTAAATTGTGGCAGAAGGTTTTTTTTTTTTTCTTTTTAAAGATATTTTCTCTCTCTTGTAAAACAATACATTTTCAGGCATTTGGTCAAGTCATGAGTACAGAACTCTAATGTATATCACATAGGAATGTTATTGGGAGTATAATACTTATCATGTGTACTGTGATGGCCTTTGATACGTAGAAAATGTTACTGTCTTGAATAGAAAACAATTAATGGAAAAGACTAAACAATATCATCTGGATATCACTTTGAAATATTAAAAAAAAATAAAAAGATGGGCCTTGAGATTTAAATATCCAGGTTTAAATCTCACATTATTAGAATCTACCACCATCTCCTTCTCCCTGTTGCAGTCATCTACTGATTCACTGATGAAGTATTTTCAGAGCTAGTGGGAACTGCTATATGTTATGTTTCTCTAGTTTTTTTCCTTTCTCTCACTCTTGCTGTCTCGCTTGCTTGCTTGCATTTGTGCAAAAACCACTTCTTTGCCACACATAAGGTATATGTGCCAAGATCAGAAGCTTCCGTCTGCTTCTGTGGTTTCTTTTATATCTTCAGTCTCTTCTGTGAAAGTTCCCTTCACCTTCTTGCTCTAACCAAAACCTGGCCCTCCCCTGATGACACTGCTTTCCCTAAAGCCCTGGTGAGTAATAGCTATTTTCATTCTCAAAACTTTTTACCATAGGACCTCTGAAGGTGGGGTAGGTGTCTTCCTT